CGAAAAAAACAAACAAAAAATTTGCATTAAACCATTGCAAATTTTACCTTCGCACCAACAATTTGGTTGTTTTTCAACCTTTTTTTCTTTCATTTGGCTTCTTTTCTGATATCAACTAAATTAAAACTAACAGAAGAATATCTTAAAATATCAGTTCAGCAAATATAAAAAAATAATTACAACAAAAAAATAAAATAAGTTAAGAAAAAGACCTCAAAGTCAATTTTAGCTCATAGCCATAATAGAAAACAAATTCTAGTCCCTGTACATCTCCAATTCCTTTTTCGCTTCTTACTTATAGCATTCTAACCGTCAATATAATGAGTATATATCCAAAAAATTTTAAGCTAACAGAACAATAAATTATTAATAGCAACTGCAGTAACAGCACCAACGTTACCACCATCACCACCAGCAGTTATAGTAGCAGCAATGGCAACATCGGGTGTTAATTGCTTTTTCAAGAATCTCAAATCAACTGACTAAAAGCACTAACCAACCAACTAATCAGCTAACCATCCAACCAACTTATTTTCTTCTTTTCTCTCCCACACAAACACACATACACACACATAGACACAGGCACACACACACACACACACACACACACACACACACACACCACACACACACACACACACACACACACACACACACACAGCACACACCACACATTTACGTACACACAGACAAATAAACAAACAAACACGGACACACACATTGATATACATACATACAAAAGCGCCATGTTTGTTAGTCTCCAATAACAGGCATTCCCAGTTTGCCTCAGTATTCTTTGAGTAACTTTCCCACTGCATTGTCTTCTCCGCCCACTAAACAGAGAAGCATCCATAACCCATTCAGTCGGCGCTGAACCTCATGGCTCAATTAGGTTGCCATCACCATCGTCACTTCACAATCATCATCATCAGCATCATTTTGGAAGCTGATTTTTTTTTAGGCTAAATAATTTTTTTTGCAAACCGGCGAGGTTTTTTCAAAACGTGAAAAAAGTTCAACAGTATTCAACTTCTTTACGCGACAAACAATGATCAGAGTAGCAAAAAACAACCGAAGAAATGAGGAATAAGTAAATGAAAAGAAAGAAGAAAAAGAAACAAATGAATAAAAATGCTGATGACAATTATTTTTTGTTTCATTTTTGTTTCCTTAACAATTTTTTGAGAATAGGCTATCAAGAATCCTTCTGGAAAAGAAGGAAAATCTGTAGGTTTTTTTTCATTTTTGCTATCCTTGTTGTCTTCGTCCTAGTTTCTTTTTTCACCGATTAACTGCATTCAATCTAATGTATGAAGGCTAAAAAAATTTCTTAACCAGACTCCTCTCACGCTTCTCCTGGTCTGTCCTTCTAACAAACGATTAATTATATGCATTTTAAAAGCACAACCTTAGTTATCCAATAGCCACTACTTTTCATCAGTGCATACAAGAACAATTACAACAATGACGATATCAATAGTAACAATGACAGTAATAATAATAACAATGATAATAATAATAATAATGATAATAATAATAATGTTAATAAAGGTAAAAATAAGGGTAATAATAATAATAATCGTAATAGTGATAGTAATAATAATAATAATAATAATAATAATAATAATAAACAATAATAATAATAATAATAATAATAATAATAATAATAATATAATAATAATAATAATAATAATAATAATAATAATAATATAATAATAATAATAATAATAATAATAATAATAATAATAAGACAATAATAATAAATTAATTTTGAGATTTTTCGGAATCAGCTAATAATAGTAATAATAATAATAATCGTAATACTAAGAATGATTAACAGGAACCTAAATAAATAGATGTCTAAACATAAAAGGTAACTGATTTATATATATATTTATAATTAAATATAATCATCAATATACCGCAAATGACGTAGAGTGCTAAAATGAATAATAAACTAATAAAGTTTTTCAAATTTTTTCCTTCTCGTTCACATATTGCTGCTGTCTTTCAATAAATGGTTGTTACACACCACCTATAACTGTTTGTTTCCTGCATCAACTCTCCCCATGTCCTGCTTCCACCGTTGTGCTCTCCTAAAAATCTATCTTACCGTAGAGTAAACGTGTGCGATTCAACAGATAACCATTTGTTTAAGCAGATTCCATGAAGTGTCCGGACGAAAATAATCAAAAAACATGAGGCAGGAACAAAGAACAAACAGCACAGGAAAGTTTGGTTCACTGGACAAGTTAATACCCGTTTAAAATCAATATACCATGCCTTTGCATCCGTGTTTACGGTAGCCAAAAAAAGAGCCCTTAGACTGTTTGAATAGACAGTTCATATCGACTGCCAAGAAATAAACCGAAAAAAATGTAAAAGTAAACACTAGTATTACCGAATAGTCCATCAATAAGCACTTTTACAGAACAGCTGTCATACAAATCAGCCTTCCGTTGAAAGCAGCATTACTGATCATTTAAATGGGAAACGAAACCAGAATCAGAAGTAAAAAATACAAATACAAACAGAGGCAAAATATATTTGTTCACTCTCCATCGTTCGATTGAACCATTGAAAATATGCTTCTTTTTGAACACCAAATGATGAAAAATTGTTTCCCTCCCCCTCCCGAAAGCTCCTTTTAAACAGAAATTAGAAGTTGAATTGGGTAAGTCGTTAGACAGAGAACAACACTAACAGCCAGAAGAAATGGAAAATTAAAAATGATCTATTAAAATTGGCTAGGAAAAAAAAACAAATTAAATAATCCGTTGATGAAATTGTTT